CACGGCTATAGATATGAATGGTTGCGCGACGGCATATAGCGTGTTGCAGAAGAAAACGGCGTTATATGTTCTTATCAAAAACCTCTAGATTACTAGCGCTTTTAGCGGAATTTGTGGTGTACCATTAAGTTGTCATATTATTTTTCAAATCCCGGGTTTTTTTTCAAATAAAAGTTGGTTCATACATAAATATATTTATATATTATGTACCTATTATAATATACATTTATTTGATTACATTTAACCTATTTTGTGTGAATATTAATATTTAATGCAGTCTAATTACTATTAAATATTATATAGGTGTATAATAATAGTTGTTTTATTAAATACAAAATATTAATAATTACCTACCTATTAACTGTTATTACTAATCACAAAATCAATAACTTTATAATCTCTGTGTCCTGCTATAAGTCATATTATGTACTATGTACAATGTAGTATGTGTGGGCACCCGCACCCAGCACACTGCACAGTTCCAGTGCACAATTCCAGAGTACGTTGCAATTTGCATAGAGGTGTGTAGTTCATGAACTATTTGATTCAAAGAGTTGAATATCAAAGATGAGCTGAATGAGTTAAATCAGAGTGAGCCAAATCGGCAACTCACATGACTTTGACTAGTGTTCCACAGTTAATTTCAAATAATTCAGAATTGACACAAATTAATTTACAATTCTACGAAAAATGACTTATGCATATTGTATCTTATAGTATAATGATATTCATATGAAACTTTGCGAGAGCTATGATTTAATATGATTTAGTGCCTCGGTGGAACTATATACTATATAGCCATAATTATAGGTATATATATATTATAGGTAATTGAGAATCGTTAAAAGAATTGAGAATTGAGATTAGTAATTCAACTCATTCAAGTGAAGTGAAGGTGAACCGAGTTGATTGATTAGGTAGACTACAAGTTCCGCTGAAAGCGCTAGCAGTCACGAGGTTTTTGATAAGAACATTGCACGGTCAAAAAATTTTCATCGTCGTGCAACCATAGTATCTATAGCCGTGATCTAACCACAGAACATACAAATATTGTTCAATATTATCATATTATGCAGATTGCACTGTTGTAGACTTTTAAAAAGCTTTAACTGAACTGATAATAATTAATAAATTGATCAGTATTCAGCGGACGATAAACATATAATGAAAATCGCTATTTGAGGGCTGCATCACGATCACGATTAAAGATACTCGATGATTATTGTTTATATACCATAGAGTAAGATTATATACATTAAACCCGTAGCGGCCGTAGGAAGTACTTGGCCGTGGTCTGCAGTTTGCCGTTCATAAAGTAGTTGCCGTTTCTGGTACATAGGTGGTCTAGTCTGGACAGTGTCTACCGTGTATACTTATTACAATTTACAACTGTCAGTCGCCAGAACGACCGCGGTGAATATTGATATTATATTTCGGCAATTCGGCATAGACCTTACAGAGTTATAACTTATTAAGGTTTATGTACTATGATTCTGTGATCAAATCAAGTGTGTATAAATATTTCTAGTAACACATTTAATTATTTAATATTCTATACTTTATGGACTATGGTAAATTCTTAATCTCCGATATTCGTACTCACTACTCGGCACTCACTAGCATGGTTGTGCTCACTAGTCATTAATCACTTATACTATATGCAACTATTAATGTACCAAAACATCTATAGCAAATACCTTACACATATTAACAAATTTGTTATAGGTCTATGGTATTCATTAATCTTGCAACTCGAGTCTTAAGTCCCAAATATTTAACGATTATTATTAATAGTGTTCATTTTCTGGTTTTGATTTATTGATATTAAAGTTTCAGTTGTATGTAATTCCTAAGATTTGTGTCCAGTTCAACATTTTGGCATGAATAATCCATATTTACTTAAAAAACAATTACAAGAGAATGAAGAAGAGTTATCAAATTATTTGCGTGATATGAACATCTGGCAAGAACAAATGAAGCGAAAAGAACATTCTTCATCGGTATGATTTATACTGAAATCTGAATTGCTTCAAAAAATATTTTTATATGTACATCTGACGGTTTAATTTTTAGAATCCCAATGAAAAGAAAAAACCTAAAACTAATCCACCCAAAGCTAGTGTAAGCAAAATTTCATCATGGGATTACTCTGCTTGGGATAAGTTTGATGTTGTATGTATTATAATTTATAACCACATTCCATTAAACCTCTAAAGTTATATTTTTATTTATTTTCTTAGGATAATGCTTGCAAAGAACTAGATACTCAAAATGAACCCAAGAAAAACGAAAATTATGGTTCAAGTGTAAATTGTTTAAGTAACAAGTTACAATCAAAACAGTCAGAAGGTTTATATGAAAAAAATTTGGTAATTAATAAAACAATCTATAATATTTCACTATTTATTTTACTAACTTAAAATGAATATTCATCTTGTTAAATTCAAAGACCTTTTACTACTAGACAAGAATTGTGTATAACAACACCATTGATACAGGCTGTCTTTTCAAAAAATACAATATTATATAAATCTATGTATGTTACCCTGCTACCACACACTACCGTGCGGAGGAGTAATCAAGTAATGAAACCCGGCCTTTATGTTGTTACACTTTCCATACACTCATCAAATGTCTAGTAGTCTAAGGTGTTGTACACATTACATGTGTGTATATGGTTAAAATATACAAACAATAACAAAATTATTTATCAAAGTAGATTATGATTTATGACAGTCCATGTTAGTAAATATTAAGTAATGTTTATTTTTTCTTCTTAAAACTACTTTTAAAACTACAACGAAGTGGCCGACCGGCTAGCCAAATCCACTGCCATCACAATCCTACCTTCCCCAGCTCAATTACCTTGGACTGATTTCTCCCCCCTTTTACGCCGTCACATCCTCAGTCTTTGGTCTACCTAATGGAATAATTTACCCGTTGGTTTTGCTTCCAAATATAAAAATACTGCTCCTATAAAATTTCAAACAACAAGACTTGGTTCAACAACCTGAACCTACCTAGATCAACAATTGTACGTTTTAACCGCCTCCGCGTGGGCCACTCTCTCTTACCAGACCACGCCTATAAACTTGGTCTAAATGACTCTCCCATGTGCACTCTTCATACCACTGAAAGTGTCTGCTACCTCCAGCATTTACTTTTTCATTGTCCGTCTCTCCGCTCCGAACGTCTAAACCTACTCAAATTATTTAGCGCCCTCAATATCTCTCCAAACCTTTTTTCCATCCTCAACTCTAACTCTGAAATCGTCATCAACAAAATTATTAAACTTATTTTGGACGCTGGTTTTGCCATCTAATTAGCCGTTTTTTGTATTTGTCTATAATTTCTTCTTGTACTTCTTGTAATTAGTTTAATATTTTTCTTATATAATTGCTATATTTAATTGTTGTATGTATTTTATGTTATATGTATCTTTCTTAGATGTATATATATATAAGCTGTAAACCCTTAAGAAAATAATTGTTGAGCTAAAATGGTTTCATACCAGCAGCTAATAAAAAAAATAAAAAAAAACTACTTTTTTTCAAAATGTATTATTTGTCTTATTTTTTAACTGCATCATTTACATTGAGTTGTAATGAAATTGTTTAAATAAAAAGTATTGTTTGATCTAGATAGAATACAATCTATTATTATACCTACATTTTAGTAATAGTTTAATTATTTTTAATTTAGGGTAACGCGTTAGTACAAAAGCAGAAATGGGCTGAGGCCATACTAAGGTACACAAGAGCTATAGAATATTATGATAAAGATCCAATATTTTATGCCAATAGAGCATTATGCTATCTTAAGACAAAGGAGTAAGACGTTTTGTAAAATCCTATTGTTCAGTGTGTTATGCAATGCAATTCTTTTTTACAGATTTAAACTAGCAATAATTGATTGTACATCTTCACTTAAACTGGATCACACATATGTAAAAGCATTTCAAAGAAGAAGTGTTGCTTATATGGCTCTTGAAATGTACAATGAAGCTAAAAAAGATATACAAGATGTTTTAAAAATAGAACCAAATAACAAACAAGCTAAACTTGATATAGAAGTTGTGAACAATAAAATTAAACAGGTTGGAGAAATATTTTATATTTGTGCTCTTACTAATTGAATATATTATTTTGAAATAGGGTGAAATGCAGAAAATCTCTGATATTAAATGTCAAAAAACAAATACAACTAATAGTTTACAAAGTAAAGTTTTAAGTTCAAAATTGTTATGTAAAGAAGAAGACAAACCAATACAAATTGTTATTCCCCATTGGCCTCAAAGAGTTGATTGTAAACAAATAACTTCTATACAAAAACCACCACACTTAAGATCAAAAGTAAGAGTGTTTAATCTTTCAATATTTAAAAAAATACTTTTAAAAATTGTTGAGCCCTTAAATACTATTAATTTGCCAACTCGACAAACACTGTTTATGTTTAATTAACTATTATTAGAATCATTATCGAACTACCTTTTATTCTCTGTGTATATCTCATTACATGTAGTATGGTTTATATACTGACTTATTGTCAACAGTTTCTATTCAACTTTTGTTTCCTGTAGACCCTCAGTATTGGTTAGACTACTAGTGACTAATTCCATTGATTATTAATGCTAAAGATTGCACTGGGTAGTTTTTATGTCCAGTTTATGGTGAATGCCATAACAAAGTGCTTCTATGAAGGGCTAGTTGTAGTGCGAAATAAGTATTTATAACCAATTTTAATAGACACAAATTTGATTTGCAATAACCTATTCTGTACAATATTTGTTGACTCCAATAGTCAAAAATTAATTTAATATTTCAGAATTTTAAGTATATGTATAAGAAAAATATTACATTTTGAATAACAATATATTTATATTTTAATTTATCTTTTGCTAGAAATAACTGTCTCAATACTGTGTGACAATGTTCATGATAATTTAAAAATATGATTTTCGTTAATTACTTTCCTCAGAAACCTTTCAGTACACCCAAAATCAAAGATGTTCAAGTAGACCAAGAAAAATTAAACAATATACATTTACTACAAACCACATTGAAAGAAGTATGTGAAAATAAAAATAAAGATCAACCTATGAACAAAGAAATTACTCCCACGAAAAAGGATTCTGTTCAAACTGTAAAAAAACATGCAGCTATACCTCCTGTTCCACTAACATATATACAACTCAAACAAGATTGGGCATACTTACAAAATGATCCAAAACTATTGTTTCAATATTTAAAAGTATGATTTAAATTGTATGTTTACATCCTAAATTATTACAATAACCTAATTACATTTATTTAGCAAATTCCTGGTAAGCGTATACCATCAATTGTACGTAATTCTATGGATAATGATCTATTTGTGGATATTTTAAGAATTTTACGGGTAGAATTCATTAAAAATGGATGTGATATAACAGATTACTTGATTGGCATAAGTGAATTACCAAGATTACAAATGTTAGTTATGTTTTGTTCTAGTAGTGAAGTATCGCGTAAGTATATTTGGACACTAAAATAATTACTGTAACTTAAAAAAAAAATATCAATCCTGCATTCATACCAATTATTCATTTATAAACAATTAAGTACTATTTAAGTTTCAAATGTATGTTATGCACATACAACATGATTTTGTTAGGCATCGAAGAATAAGAAATATATTTTACCTAAATATTGCACGCTACAAATTGTATATAACATTTAGTCATTCTAATTTTGTTTTCTTCCTGTTCTTGGTAATTCCCACAGAAACCTATAGTGTAAGTGGTGTCGTGATTTTCTCCAAGAATGATTAATTAACATACAAAATAGAAAGTGTCAATGGGAGATTTTTAAAGAAGTCTCATTTCATACTATTCTGTCATTTTTTTTTCACTGATTATTAATCATATTTTAAATACAAAATACTTATTGTGAAAATGTATGGATTGTAAAATACTTTAACAAAAAAAGGAACCTTTTAAATTTTACTAATATAATATTATCATTAAATTTATTGATTTCATTTCCAGATATCAAGGAATTGCTGAACTACGTTTCAAAATCTGTCCCAGAAAATGCGTTTAAAAACCTTAAAGAATCTTTTGGAGTTTAATATTGATTGAAAAATAACTTTATTTCATACACTTCCACAATATACTTACACTTTGTCATTATATATTACATTATTATTGCAATCACCTTGTATTTTTTCATCAATTAAATCAATAAATGTAAAACAAATAATTATTTGTATACAGTATTTTATATTATATAATATGATATATAGTCAAGGCTCATTTAAAATGAAAAATATGAGTTTTCCACATAAAAATACAATAGAAAAATAAACATGTTAAATCAAACCAATTTTAGGTAATAATAGTATATTTTATTTATACTTAGCAAAAAGTACACCGAACAAAATATATAAAGTGATTTACAAGTGAAAGAAGTATTTATGAATTTTCAAATTTACAGTTATATTAATTCTTAGAATCAAATGCTATTGTTTGTTTGTTTTAATTTTAATATAGTTATGATTGAATATGGTCACTACTGCAAATTATTAATTTTCTCAATATGTGTTGTTGTTTTAGTCACCACCAATCCTGAAATATAAAAGAATAAATACATATTATTACAACTAAAAAAAAAAAAATGATTTGATATAAAAATTGTTTTGAAGTTAGACTTTTTATATAAGTTAAGGGTTTTAAGAAGTAGGAACATGAGGTTTAGGTAAGGATAAAAATATAAAATAAATCCAAAAGTATTTTGGATATAATCCAAATAATCCTTGAATATAAATAAGTGAGCATATAAATGAAGTAAGCATCTACAACCTCCAGTTTCTGCAATAAATTTATTTATTAGGAAATAAAACAATATATTAATATTTATGAATATAATTAATTATTATTTATAGGTACATAACATACCCAAATTTCTAATGATAGTATGGAACACAAATTTTATAATATTTTACTGGGAATGATTTTTAATATACTATAATATAAGAAGGAATTGTTTTCCTTTAATATTTTAGTAAACAATAAGCAAATTAATTTTAATAGGCTTACTACCGATCATACCTGAACAATTTGTAGCACGCATGGTATTTGGCCATCAAATAAAAATGTGTTTATTTAGGTTATAATACTTAGCATAACTATATTATATTTTATCAAATCACTATTTAGTTAATTTAAAGATTTTTTAATGCACTGTGTTTAACGTCCAACTTAAGATAATCACAGTAATATTAGGCACTATTGAAAGAATTTAAGGAACCAAAATAGTACTTAAATTATCATTGCATAGATAATATAGGAATATAGGATATTTAGTTCTATATTATAACACATAATTATAATTATTAGAATAGTATTTCTAAAATATGGATTATGATGTAGTCAACTATGGAATATCATTTTTAACCTAAAATTGACTTAACATTCACAACAAATCTCGCCAGAGCTGTAGATATGTTGGTGAGCACAGCACTTAAGCCAGAATCATAGCAAGGCTTACAGGTAACAGAATACAAACGACTAAGTTATGTATAAGAGTGTCTGTGCATACATTACAATACACAATTAAAATGGAAACTTATGTAGATACTCAGTTCACTTCAACGCACACTACTGCTTAGTTCATAAAATTAAAATAAGACCCAAAATATAATCATTAATTTCTTGTCTTAGAAAGTCCTTAACAAGTAAATACATTTAGATAGGTAAAATAATTATTGAAACATTTCGAAGAACAAAAGAAAACATGAACAAATATTTGTTAATTTTCTTTATTTAATTGAATTGTTATAAATATACGTAGATGATAATTTAAAGGAAACATTTCTAAAAGTTAATCAGTAACTAAAATGTTTTATAACCATAAAAAAAGACCTTAAAAATAAATGTATGTTTACCAATTATTATTCCTTCTTTGAGCTCTCTGCATTTTCTTCGACAACAGCTTTCTCAGTACTGTCGGTCTTTTCTTCTGATGATCCTTTTGCTACAGCCTCTTCTCTGCTAGCATCATCAAAGTTACCGACCAAATCTGGCACCTCATCATCATCTTCAATTAATGATTTACTAATGAGATTATTGCTAGCAAACCCGCTGGCATAACGCTTTAACTGTCCAATTTCTTCATGACCCAACTGATTTAATATACCCGGTAGTAGTTCAGACATTGATTTTGTATCACCATGCCCCGTAATAGCAAATGTGTTTGCTGCCAGAGAAGCTTGTGCTTTTGGATTGTTAAAGTGTATCACAGTACCATCATCTTTGATCATATTTACTTCTTCGATTCCAGGTATTGTGTTAACGGTTAACTTTTTAAGTGTACTTTGGAGTTTTTTGTCGTCTGTGGCTGCTGTGGTGTGTACAACCTTCTTCTTTCGTCGTGGTGTGCCTTTACCGCCTATTCTCACCTGGTCACTGAGTTTTTTCAATTTTTCAGCGTTCATTTTGAGTCTTGTAAATAATTACCGTCCGCAAATGGTTGGTCGGCAACAATTGACTTATATTAAGCTAACTCTACGTAAAAATTTAAAACACTTATGGTTAAAAATCCACTTTCACGGACTTAACCTGAAGTAAGACACAAAGAAAATTCGCTCAGTGCGAACATGTGACTTCAGAGTTTGATCAACAAAATGGATGATCCAATCACATCTCAGGTCCTTCAAAAATGCCGAACTCGGATGTTTTCACTCTCGGTTAACCTCGGGACATATCGTTGAAAGCAAAGGGAATGTGATATACCAGAACCATGGTTCAATATACCGGTATCTTGATTGCGCTACTTTTTGAAATTCCTCATTTGTTATGAATTATGATTTACGAATAAAACAATTTTATAGTTTTAAAATTATATTGTTGTTTTGTTGTACATATTTTAAATTAATAAATATATTTTCCTGTTCAAAGAAACTGAAAAGAAATGAAATGAATAGTATTGAATATAATAATAATAATTATTAATTCAAATCAATAATAGTTCGCTTGTTTTATAAACGCTTAATGTCTATAATGTCAGATTCATTAGTAATATGGATTTTAAAGTATATAATATACTTAATAAGTTATATTTTAATTTTTACTGGTGAAAGGTAGGTCTATTTTTAAGTTTTAATCTAAACTACCTGCGATAATATAATTAAGACATAGACAAGACAATGGTCTATGAAATTTACATTGCTAACTCATATTATGATTTTCCGATTTCAATGATTGTTATAAAGTGGTAGACTAGAGAAAAACTTTTTAGGCGAATTTTTACTCAGTTAAATCTAATCAATCAGTTAATTACCTGCACTAAACTCTTTAAAGTACTAAGTTTGTAATTATAAAATCAATTATTATTTCATGTTAATATGTATATTATAAATTATAATAATATCATAAATAACATTGTAAGAAGATCTTTTGTATTTTGAACAACAATTAACATACTCATAAAGTCATATATGATGATAGTCATTAGTCATACAGTTCATACAAGAAAACATGTCACATATGCATGTATAAAGTATAACTGACTGAACTAGGTTATTAATAATTGTTAAAGTTGTTAAACTGCTAGGTACTCAAAGACCAAATAAATTATAATTTAAAATAAAATAAGCTAAATTAAGTAAATATTACCGGGATGGGGGGATCATAAATAGGTACACCAAACATATTTGAATAGGTACTTCACTATCTGTTTTGAAATATTGGTCCAAGGAGTCCATATTTTTTCTTAAAAGTTTATCTTTTTTCTTTTATAACTTCCCCTTTTTGCTACTACTTTACACTTGTATAATTTCTTAGTTCATGGCAATATTCTAACTCAGCAATATAATATAGTAGTATAGTACACATCACTGTATTTATAAAATAATAAAGAATAGTATTTGAATGTTTTAAATATTGAAAACATAATAATCAAAATAATTAATTTGGAAATGAAATGAATTTAAACAAAGTGCAGGTACACATAAAGTAAATTCACTTTAATGTGGTGGCACTAGATCTTCTCTTGTATACATAGGAAATATGGGTATGCCAAATGACAATATTTGGCTAAATAGTTTACCTATTACTATTATGCACTTTACGGATTGAATTTTGATTTCTAAGTAAGAGTTAGTTACATTTATCATAATGGCAAGTATAACCATGTAAGTTAGTAACAAGTAGTTATTATTTAAAAAAAAAATTTAATTACCATAACACAAATGTCAATTATATCTAATAATTATTTTATGTAGGATAACAACATTATAATATATGTATAAAAAAAATATTTAAAGTTCTTCTTTATATAACTAGAGGGTGGCTAAAAAGTTTAAAAAAAATTAGTGGTTCTATTCCATTTTCCTCCAATTTAAGTACTGTTTATAGGTATAGGTAATTTGTGAAATTATGTAAGTAGTCAAGAAGTTACCCAATAAAATAAATTTAATTAACTGTACATTGTTCAAACGGTTCAAATGTCAAAATATCGCCTTCTGTAATACTTGGGTAAAAATATAAATACTTATTGAAAGATATATTGTATATCCATTTAAATAGGTATCTCTATATTAAAAAATACTTATGCTAATCTAATAATAATTTTATTTCTGTGAACTTATTACTATTTTAAATTGTTTTTTTTTTTACGATAACCGCTTAAATTATACATAATTTAGATTCACATCACTACATCAGTGTGTGGTATGTAATAGTTTTCATATTTTACAACCATATGATATTAAGCTACTATTTTTTTTCTCAAACCTTTCCCTACATAACCACTAAATTAGCTAAATCAATGTACAAACGTTTTCATCAAAATTTAAGCATGGGTTGCAACATACTCAAAGTTATAACTCAATAAATTAAATACAAGGTCTTTACATATATCAAACAATTTAAAAATCAGAATTTGAATAAAGCAGTTATTCAAGGAAAAAGTGAAGTACCTATCCAAGTGTACAACTTACTTGGTTCAGTTAAACAAATATACTATAGAATCCAATTGATAAGTTTAAAATTCATTTTTTTAAATACAATTGTAGTACATTTTTAGTTTTCCAAAGTACAAACTATTAAGTTTATGCAAGAAGTATTCTAAACTTTTTATTTGTTATATATTATTCATTTTTTCTAGATAATTTTTATTAAATATGAACTAAATAAGTATTGTTTATATTTTAAATTTATGGCCTTTTTTTCTAAATTAATAATATAGAAATAAATAACAATTTACATTTAAACATAAAATATAAAAACAGCCAGCAAATTAATACTCATATAAATAAATACATGTAATAGTAAAGAGTATAAATAAAAGTGTATAAATAATAATATTAAATAAATACAATTAAATTGAACATAATATAAAAATTATATATATATATATATTATGAAAACATAATAAAACAAATGATGGCTTATTCATATAAAGTATTAAAACATTTAAAATAATATTACTATTTTATTAAAATAAATGTACAATTTTAAATATAACCAGTTATATTTTGGGTAGGAATTACACCAAATTCTGATTTTAAACGGGTGTGAATTTGTGGATTTACATTTCCCGTAGATGCCGAATACACTTTAAAACAATGGGTTAAAAATATGTCTAGGATAAATCTGGCATTTGTTGTAATAATATTTATCTATAAATTTAAATAAAGTATTAGTATTAAAAACTTAAAATTGTTTAGTTATTTAAAAATACTTACATCATTTACAAAGTTTTTATTTTTTAAAGAGCTCTTTATGTAATTACAATGAGCAGCAAAAACTTCATAAAGTAGTTGATCAATAACATTGGCCAAATCAGTTGAATACAGCACTAAGCAATCATTTAGAAGTAATAGGTAAGTGCGTGTGAAGGTTATTGTGTTTTGAGTTAGCATTATCCACGAATCACCTAAAAACACCAAATTTATTTTATTGCCCATCGCGTTACATCATTTCTAGGTCCAGATTAACCTTTATTGTAAGATTCAATGTTTGAAAACCCATAATTTGTATACTCTTCAACAATTTTATCTCTCTGTTGTTTAGTTTTTAGATTGAAAGGTTTCCATTTATCCTCAGAAAATCTTATTTTAATTACTTCAATAGTCTTGTCCTTAATATCATTTATTGATTTTGTAAGTGGAATTCTAAGTTGCCCATCAATTTGAAATTGAAGATCTATTCCATAATCACATAACTAAAAATAAATACACATATGGACATGTATTAGATGTTAAAATACATTTTGTGGATAGTTGATAAAAATAACCATATACATGCCCTTTATCTTAACAGGACTTACACACAAAAAGATTAAAAATAACAGAGAAAACATTACATTGTTATATGTATCAAAGTTTCTGAGTATAGATACTTGATGGTGAGTATCTATAAATTTTTTTTATTGTTTTGGTGCTTTTTTAGTTTATTATCATTCAATTTAGATTTCTTTAATATTTTTCATAAATTTATGTTAAATAAGAGAAGTTCCTAATGTTAATTGTATATGTTGTATCTCTCATCGCATGTACTCATTGTGCCTCATAGGTACAGATTGTTTATTCCAAATAAAGAAAAAAAAAAAAAAGCGAACAAAAATTTACCCTTGTTTCCGATTTGAATAATTTAATAGTATTGTTTTCAAAATAAATGTTATGAAAGATCTTTTATATTATATTTATTTTATAGGTAAATTTAAATTTAAGATTGAATACATCTAATAAATAAGAAATAATAAAAAAAAATTTTTGCATTGTTTTTTTAATGTATATTTTAGATTCTGAGAGGAGCAATGAATATATTGATTTAATAATAATCTGTTGTTTTTTTTTGTGTGTGTTTATGTCATTATCTTTTGGGACAGTGGAAATGTTTTGATTTTCTTCAATAGCATCTATTCTTATAAGAAAGTGAATCTAGTTGGTACTTTAAGGAATCAAAAGGAAAAATTTTCAATACATTTCAAAGCATCAGGAAAAACAAACAAAAAGTGAAAGAAAACCTGTTTTTGAACCTTATTATAAAAAAAACCCGTAGATATACAACATTTTCACTAAATGTTTAAATTAGCAATTTCTATACATCATAATATTGTAATACTTTTTGAGCAATTTTAGGCTTGGACAATTTTGTGTTTTATTTCTTGAATAAAACAAATCAAAATCATGATAATTGACAAATTATTTAGTTAGAAATTCATTAAGATTTGAAATTTACATAGATCTGAAAATACTCATAGTTTTTTTTTTATATAAGAAATTTAATATCTATTCTTGCACAGAATGATAAGCAAATGTAACAAAGGGTATTTACATTTGAATTTTTGAGGGAAGAAGCCACCCATTAGTGACACTACTTATTTTGAGTTTTTATTTATTTATTTTTCCTCTGACTTAATAAACTGAGCTATTTAAGTTTCAGTTAAAAGGTCGCGACACCATCTTCATAATAAGCCGCCTTGGGGGATTCCCTGGAATGGATAAGGTAGATAATTTTTTTATAAGAAGATTATAATGGACAGGTAATTTTGTGTGAAATTTTTTATAGAAACATTTTGCTTCATTAAGTACTGTTGCTATTTAATACAATTAAAATATAATAAAAAGCCCATGAGATCGCATAAATAATATTAGCTTTAAATTGTAAAGGTTAATTTTAACAATTTTTAAACAGAGCTAAACATGATCGGCTGAGAGTACAGTTTTCTAGGTTAAGCACTTGAAAGTCGGAGGCAACACATCGTCCTCTTGAGTTTTCCCAAATTTAATAAAAAAAATTTGTATTATTTTATTGTTATTTAAAAACTATCAGCTGTAGATACAATTTTCATCAAATGTTTATCTATCGTTTTGTATATATGATAATATTTTCAACATACTTTGACTCGTTTTGAGCTGTCTATGAACATTTAAAATTTAAAATTTTTTTAGATTTTAATAATTAGTATAAATATCGATACATTTTTATTTGTTGTTATAGTAGTAGTTGATAAATATTAAAGATCCAACGGCACAATCTATTACAAGTATTTAAAGTTCAAATTAAATTGTAGACAAAAATGTATAAAATATTTCATTTTTTAAAGCTTAAGATTGAAAATTTAAAACAAGATTTTTAAAAATAGTTTATACTGTAACCAATGAATCTAAAAAATATAAACATAGTTCTTTTTTACAAAACATTTTAAGTGTAAATATTTGAACAAAATTACATATATAAACCAAAACTAACAATTTTAGTTATTTTTTTATAATTTAAAAATATTATTTGTGGGTACTTGAAACTTATAAAGTATATTATTATATTTTATTTACACAATGGCATTTTAAAATGCAAATTTTTGAGCAAAAATGAATTTAACCTACTGTAGTACTAATGTCTAATAGTAAAATCGATTACTTTAATAACGATAATATCATCAAATATACTTAGTAATCTTATAGGCTGACAGACTGCCTTTGCTAAAAATGATTGAATTCAAATTTAACACATCCATAGCAGCAACTCTCTAGACACCTAATATACATTAGAGTGTTACTCTACTTTTTCTTATAAACTTTCAGAGTAATATTCTAATTTACAATACTTAATTAGTGTTAAGCACAGATAATTACTATTAAATAATATTAATATTACCTCTTGACAATTTTTGTGTATCACTTTTATACACTCAGATAAATTGGACAGTGATGTTTGAGGAACAAACATATGTTTGATTAAAACTACCATAAAATCATTGACTTCTTGAATTATCCATAAAATAAAAGCTAAACAGATTTTTATCATACAGCTATATTATATATCAATTACTTATTAGTGATAGTACCTGAAGAACATGCTGAGCTATTTGGAAAAGCTTTGTATAAAAATTCATGTGTAATTTCTATCGTAGTTCCAAAAAACACCATTGAATATTTTTTAACAAATGTTGACATTGCACCATCACGTTTTACATACTGTAATTGAGATTTCAATAAATTTGAACAAACTTTCAAAAACAAATCACATGCCTATAATAAAATACAAGTGGTATAAAACAAAATATTTTTTTTTTTGTATTATTATATACTTGTGAAGATTTATCCAATTGATTTAATATTCTAACTGCTCTTCGAGCTGCTCGTAGTCCACCTTTATGTGACTTATCTGGAGAAACTTGAAGTTCTTTAGTTAAAACTAATGTTAATGCTTGAATACGATTTTCTAATTTAGTTCTGTAATATTAAACAGTTATTTTATCTTTCTATCTATCTAACTATAACAAATTATGTATAGAAATCTTAAACTTGTAAGCATATTTAAACAGGTTTTTGTAACATTCATTTATATGTATACAAATAAATATATAATGAAAAATATACATGAAAATATATTGTACGATGATTCACTCAAATTTAAAAATTATGTTCTGGTCGAATAACATTATATGTTATTATTACCAATGTACATCATTTATTATATTTAGTTTTTTATACTCTGTACCACAAGTGAAGTAACTCGTTTCAAGCATGTTAACTGACAGCAACGACTGTTACGAGGCCCCATTTCTCTCACTTTGTGCCATTCAGTGTAGCATTGTGGCATCATTGTGATCGTGTATTATCAATATGTCAAAAAGGTGGGAAATGCGAGGATTCAAAAGCAATTTGGTGGAGACACAGGTTACTTCTCTTGTGGCACAGAGAATAGCTATCATTTTTTTCTAGGAGAAGGCTGAAAGAGCGATTGAATCAGAGAGCAGCTACTTTAAGATGACGTTCTACCCGCTGTGTTGTCTTAGTCTTACACACACTTAACATAACAAATATGAGTACCAGATTTTTACTACAATGTTTTTATTAATAGTAGTAAGAAGCGGGTGTATAGATGTGGTCTTAATCAAATCAATTATTATCCAAGAACATAATAGTAATTATTAAAAACAATGTAAAAAAAATATATACTTTATTTCTTGTTCAATTGATGTTGAAATTTGATCAGTTTGTTCCTCTAAATATTGTCTGGCTTTACTAATCAAAGAATTTGCATCTTCAAAATGTCTTTGAGCAATCAATACATCTAAATCATCTGCTAAATCAATAATCCATTCAGGTAATTCAGGTTCTGGTGTTTCAGGTTCAAATGCTAAAATTGTACATCAACTTATTTTAACATTTTTAGTCATGTTAATGTTCAAAAATGTAAGAACATAATATAAATACTATTTTATTGTTTATAAAATGTTATATTCTGATAATAGCAGATACCATAAGTGTTTTCTTTGCTACTTACTTACTATATTTAAGTTAAACATTAGTAAATCAATAACAAGTTAACTATTGTAATAATATATTTATTTTTTATATTGAATTAATTATTATTTTAAATTATTTTTTTATATTTGTATATTAATGTAAGTAAGTTTACAACAATAAGTGTATATTCCTGCCTTGGAAGAAGTGTTCACATGAGCAGTGTGTCACAGGCTGCTGGATCGCAAACTATGTTTCAAAAATATCAATATTAACGCTTTCCCCCCTCCCCACAAAAAAGTATCAACTAGTTCCAATTTTTTAACAGAAACTATCCTCAAAGCTGAAAATTGAATCATTCTTACTGACCCGAAAAGGTGAAGACAGGCAGAAAAAAAAGTTGCTAAATTAATACACTTATTGCTCAACTCAGATTCTGATTGCAAAATATAAAATAAAATACAGTTTGCTGGCTGCTTTTAAAAATGATAAATTTTTTTCTAATAATAACTTTTTGAGATTAATTATTTGGAATTTAGATTAAACTAATTCATATCATACATGTACTTAATCATCTAACTCTATCAGATAGTAATAATATAACAACTATTCACTTTTCAGAATAATAATATTAATCTAAATCAAATTTAATTCTCACAATTATGAACTAATTGAATGGAATCTGTTCTTTGGATCATTTTATGGTCAACAGCACTTTTCATTTTGTTTTCAACCAAGATTTGTGACTTTTTAGCGACTTCAAATTTTGATAACCAATCATTCTATAAATAGTTATAACATGTTAAATTAATTTTATAACATTGGAAATCACTAACCTTAAGTCCAGTATTTGGTGCTTGAAATACTCTTGTTTCAGGAAAAGCAAGCAATTTAAACGAATTTTTAATATCTTTAATATTTACAACAGCAAGATTACATAAATCATACATTGACTGAAATCTATATCTAGCTGGTCCTCGTCTAAAATTAAACAAGTAAAATTTAAAGTCTGTTGCGATACATGCTTTTGACTATAATTACTAATTACCTGCTAGACAACCAACTGGTAACAATACAAATATCATTAAATAGATAACAATGAATTCTTTGGACTGGTGTATTTTCAATAGGATCCAATTCTAATAAATCTCCTTCATGCAAACACTTACGATCAGCAACATCAACTAAATTCTAGAATCAAGCTTATTATAAATACTATAACTACTTGAAAACTATATTATAGAAAGGTAATACTAACATTGCAGTTTTCTACTCTTTCCATAATATTCAGCAATTTATGAACTCTCTTTTCTTCAACTACATTATCTACTTCAGCGTTCTGAACACCATTCACTTCTTTGCCGGAGTTAGACATTTTTTCGCTGACAATTGAAGAACTAGCCAATGAATTAAGTAAAGATCCTTGTTCAGTTAGTAAATGTGACAGTTGATACATTTCGCCCTCTAAGTCTATAATATAAAAATGTAATAATCATTTATGGAAATTTAACAAATAATATAATTTTTTTTACAACTTACTAGCTATTTCTTTTGCGGTGTCAATAAATTGAATATAATTGTAAAACACATTTTTCTTGAGCATTGTGTTTATTTGTTCACCCAATGATTGTACATTTGTCTTCTGTTGCAACAATTCTTCAGGACCCATACATCTCTGAGATAACTCTTTGACATCTAAATTAATACACGAATCATACATGAATATTTTTTGCTACTCGAAAGTATTACATTATACATACATTTTTCGGGTTGATAATCACTCTCGCCAACACTTTTAATTAACGAATCCATGTTATTAAATAATTATTTAAAAATTAATGTGAAGATATTTGTACAAAATATAAAACTATTTGTATTCTGATTGAAAACAACTACGCATAATTATTGAGACAATACCATAATGTTTAATAATATTTTAACTCTTTTAAGTTATAAATCATAGTGCTATTCTATAAATATTTTATAATTCTTCTCAATGATATACCGTCATCAATCAGGTCCACAACTTAATTATTAAGAACTTAAAACCGTACTTTTAGGGTCGTTCATCCGTGACAGTCGTGTCACCAGTGACGACTAATGAGTAACTAAGCATGAAGTTCTATATAGTGAAGTGAATAGTGTGATCAGTATCTACAAATCTACTATCTAGACAAAAGAGTAGACACTAGACAGTACAGAAGTGAGAAGTGACGAAATTACAAATAATGTATTCATAGAATTATATCAAGTATAAAATGCACTATCAAATGATAAGAGTTAACAAAACAACAAATTGATATTATACCATAGACCTTATACCTAAAATTTAATCTATTCTGTGCTTAGTGCTTACCAGTTACCATAAACTAAGATATTATATTACATACCTATCTAAGTCCGTGATTTATAGTATTTATAGTATAATGCCTACTTAGTTAGTTAGTAGTTACTACTTACTAACCTAACCTACAGTGTTATAAAAAACTATATTACCTTTACACTAGAAAGCCTTAATAATAATAATACATTTATTAAGGCTATCTAATTAAGCCTACTTGGTAATTGGTGTAATGTCTACAGACATACCACAGAAAATATTAACAAATTCTGTGACTAACCGCACAATTTTCACATAGTTCTATGCAATTAAATAAACATTTTCAAAAGTAATAATTTTAAAAATTTTTATTCAATTTACATTTTTTTAATGTACATAATCAATTAATATATTTTTTATTTTAAAATTGTTTTTTTTTCCAGTATTCCCCTTCAACTGTCGGCTCCTAAATTAACTACTTACCTAACCTAACCTAACCCGGTGGTTATTACATTTTGAGGAACTTACTTAAAAAAATAATATCGATACATCAAAAACTAGTTTTACCATTTCCCCTGATTATTATGATAAATACTGGAAGTTTTTTAATTTTGATCTAATCGAGAACCAAATGGATCCAATTTTCTACCCGAAAAACCTTTCGGGTAAAAATTGATGCATTTTTAATTTTTACTGCTCTAAAAGGTGGATGGTGAAACACATAAAATAATAATTTAAATTCAAATGTCAATAAATAACTTAAAATGACAATTTAAGTACTAGTGCATTGAACAAATTTCTACAAGCAATATATTTTTTTAATTCTGATAAAAAACTAACATTATTTAATGATACTTGTATATCGTTAAATTAAATTAAAGATACATATCATTTACATCAAAATTTGTTTTTCAAAAGCACGTAAAAAAAAGAAAGTGGTCTTATGCTAAACATTTTTTTTAAATTCTAGTAAGAAAAATTTTTATGAAACTATTATTATATGTTAATCAAACTTTTTGAGTAAAAAATAAAATGTTTTATTTATCTAGCGAACCTAAAAATATCAAACATTTCAAATTTATCTTCTCTTATATATACCCTTAATTTTAGGTTGAACTCAAAACAAACAGTAGCAATAAACAGGCACCAACATTTTTTATTAAAATAAAACAAAATTTGAGGGTCTCTCGGATTGTCATACAATTCAATACATCAACCAGAGACCCCAGACAACAACTCAATCACTACCTGCTGCTACTGCAGTCACAATTATAATTAATAATATCAATCGCATCATCTTGAAAATATTCTCTTCAACAGGTATTCAACTCTAAATTACCTCTAATATTAATCTAGATACAATTTTTATTTGCATAACAGTTTTAGATTGTTTTAGATACTATCACTTTTTTAATTATTATCTTACAATATAAAAATAAATTTTTTTTACGATTTTTAACGTACATGTATATAGTGATGACAATTTAAATTTTAATAACAAAAAAATATCATACAAACATGTTGTAATATAAATAAAACTATTCATTATTAACTTTGTCTGATATTTCAGGGTTATTTTTATAAATGTTATATGTCAATGCTGTTGCTAACGACAACCAACCTAAGTATGGAACCATCAAATAACTAGCTACTTTGTTTATTTTGTAAAACGTTACAATGCAACCAGCTACGTTTGTCCACAAAACACATATTTCAATTAAACTCTGAAAAAAAATAATGATTTGTTAGAATAATTTAAAAATATACAATAGTAGGCAATTAAAAATGTAATCAGTTTACCCATTTTAACTGATGAAATTCAAAGAATAAAGGCGTCCATGCCCAATTTAAAACCAATTGTGATGCGTATAGTGCCAAAGGAATTTTTGCAGCACCTTTAATTTAAAAAATTGTCGGTGACATGACTTCAGGTTTTCTACTAACATTAGGCATAGTCTTACCAGAAAATCCACCTCCACTACGGTACACCATGTATGAGGCGTATCCCATTCCTAAATACAAAGTAGTCCAAACTGGAGCAAACATATAATTTGGAGGCCTCCAGGATGGTCGATTCAATGTCTACAACAGATGTATGTATGTTATATAAGATCTTCTCTTTTAGTTAACTAAAATGATTAAAATATTATTTTTGATTACCTCGTACCATCCTTTGATGTTTTTGCGAACAAAAATGCTTCCCATGAAACCACCTATCATAGGTGTTACTGTGAATGTTACAGGAATCCAAGGTATGCCGATTTTGCACATGATTATTAATATTAAGATACTTTAATATCTCCTAAAGTAATGCGAGATTATTGTTCAAGTTGAATTACAATTGTAAAAGTACGATTTTATTTTTCCACTAATGACATGTCTCATAGCAAAAAATGAACATTATATATTATAAGATATGTACCTACTACCTAATAGTATTTTATAGATTACATAGAGTACCATAGAGGAGTACTTGTTCGCAGAAATTAAATAATTATTTACTAATTTAGCAATTAATAATTATTCTATTTTCCTACTTAAAATATGCCAACTGGTTATCTTTGTAAACAAACCTTATCAGTTTTAAATTCTGTGAGATGTGGCAATGTGCATTCTGAATTTCTTAATTTCTGAAAGAGCCCAACGCCCCATTCTGAATTCTGATCAGTATTCAGTAGTTCCGTACTCACTGTGACACTATTTAGTGATACTTAGTAAAGTACAAACTTAGTACACGGCATAGATAAAAGACGGTTAGTACACGGGCATTCAGTAGTCTGGTGGTCAGTGTTGAAGTCAGTGGCACCCAGACAGGTTAACAAGTACCTACTGTAACTGCATATTGATATTGTGCTCTTGAGGGTGATGGGTGTAAATTACTGATGTCACGAGGAAGTTTATGCGTTTATAATATAAACTATAGTCTATAATAATTATTTTCTGTGATCAATAAGTGAGTATAATTGAGTAAATTAAGTACACAACAGTGTCGCTACAATAGTGGATGCAAGTTATGGATTGCATTCCCTGATCAGGTTTTATGTTAAAATGGGGACCCATCATCAAAAGGAAAAACTTTAAAAAAGTTATTATTCCAAAAAAAGGAAAATAAACCTATTAATGATATATCTGAATATTCATTTATTGGTTTGGAACCATGTTTCCGAGTAAATACAAGCAAAATAATAAAAAATAGGTTGGTGGGCGGGTAACATTTTTAACTGCATGTGCTCTCAAAATACCCCTTATGCCACCGGCTTCGGTTCACTCAGTGTTCAGACCATATTATTATCTATTATCTGGATAATAATCTGTGGTTAGGTTATGCAATCTATTGACATATAATACAAAATATAATATAACATTTTTTATAATAATTTACATTTTAGCTTCAAAAAAAAATTGAAAAACTCAAGATTTCATTATACATATATGGATGGCCATTAGCATTTTTATAAGGTGGTTAAGTGGTTGGTCAATAAATAACTAATAAGTGATGTGGGGCAAGGGATTCGTCGCTAAAAATCTAGAGTGGTCACCCATCCGGGAACTATCGACGCTGACCGTTGCTTGACTTCAGACTTTAGTCAACTAACTACTCTGGTCTGTAATAGTTTGTTGGAATATGTAGAGTACACATTAATAAATTACTATATCATCCACATTCTCACTAAATATGCCGAACATAATCAGAACATTTGTTATAACCAGTCTGAATTATTGGCAGAAATACTCCACAACCATTATCGGTCCATAGCCAACATCATCCAATGAATCACAGCCTCCAAATTTCAAACTTAATATTAAGAATGAGTAGACAATATTTATAATCATTTCAATTATTGTTAAATCGAATGGCTATTGTTGAATCAATGAAAAAAAAATTTATATAATTGGTAGTCAATACAATATATACAGTCAAAACTCTTTATAACGAAACTCTTTACAACGAAAAACTCTATATAACGTAAACATTACATAATAAATGTTGGTTTGCTATATAACCCATTAGACAATTCATTCTCTATAACGTATTAGTCACTTTCAATAACTAAACAATATTTTATGTTTCATAATACAATTTACGTGTTATCGTATCTATTACATATATAAACTATAAAAATAATCGGCAATAATGCCGAATAAAAAAGTCCAAACTTAGATGACAGACTATTTTAAATAAGGTATAAATATGTATAGTATACAAATTAAATTATATTTAATAAGTATGTATAATAATAATAATAATTCAATATAATATGTAAATATATATAAAATAATGTAAAAATAATGATGTGTTTGATATATAATATTACATTGGTACATACCTTTATACATAAATAATTAAAATTTTGTTTTTTTTTAAACCCTCTCTATTACGAAAACTCTCTATAACGAAAGAAATCTCTTGGTCCCTTCAGATTCGTTATAAAGAGTTTTGACTGTATTTTGTTTACCAATAGACAGTGGATATACAATTATTATAATAGTTGTTGTAATTTGTAGTAATTTAAGTAGCTACTATGTGTATATAAGTACCTACTTAGTACTTAGGTAGTAGGTACTATACTTATACATAGCAATTAGTAGCGTACTAGCATGAAAAATAGACTTAATTTGTTATAGTATCAGACATCAGTATGTCCTATTTCAATTATTAGTGCCTACTATTAGTACAGTACAGATAACTGTGGTAGGTACTGTTGTGTTAAGCATTTGGAGTACCCTACCTATAAATATTGTGTAACTTAGGTAAATAAGGCAGCAAATACAAACTATTATTAAAATTTAATTTATTAAAAATCAAAACTAGGTTAAGCAATTAGAAAAAATTGACGTACCTAATCAATACAATTCTTGTAATTATCATTACGAATCAGTTAATATCGATGAGCCCAGGGGGCTTCAATGTTTTTCGAGAAAAGGGCTTTACCGAATTTGAAAACGATTTAAACTTTATAATAATTAATAATCAGCGACACGCCGACACGTCTTGTAATTGGGATACTGTAATGGATGGCGTTAAATTTGAATTCAAGATAAAATATCATTGAAGGACTTTGTAGGTAGATATACAAAAAACGATTCTGATATCAGAATATGAGCGGGGATGGTTTGTCGGACTAGGATATTTTATATTTTATTTAAATTGTTAATACGGTAGCTGTAGGTTGAATTAATATTATTTGCACATTATCATAATTGTATATAATAAATAAATAAAATAGCTTAGAAGTTTCAATTACACACGAATAATATTTTTATATCGGAACAATATAATTAAAATCGTTATTCTTGGTTATTTAATATGTAATTTCGTTCACATTTGAAACTCTTATACCTATCCAAAAAAAAGTATTAATTTATATTTTATATTTTTTGATTACAGAATTAACTACTTACCGCACCTTGTTTTAAATGTTCTATTTTTAGATATAAATGTTGAACGTTTTATACTTTTATACATTGTTAACTACTAATTAAATTGTACATTTTCTATTTTAATACATTTTGTCAACATTTGTACTTTTAATGCTAATAAAAAAAAATCATGGCCTATGTATTTTTATTATTTTTCAACTGCTATTATAACAATACTAGCTGAATTACCCGGCTTCGCCCGTGTGTAGTTTTTGTTTTATCAAAATTAAATTCTTAAATCAACACAAATTGCTGTGTCTTAAAGAATTATAATACAACAAAAATAATAATAATAGTAGTTACAAATGATTCTAATGATTCTATACACATATTGTTATTAAAAAATGTTTCTATAATTATACATAACTTTTTTTATGAATATTTACAAATGATACGTAGTTGCTTAATTTTAATATGGTTTAAGTCAAAACCTCTTGGTATACCACATTTAGAGTTTTATTTTGTGGTGCATAAATACGTACAAAGTTTTGTAGAATTTTACTTCTCGGAAGAATTTTATATTTACATGCCGATCAAACATAAAGTTAGACGAACAAAAAGTTATGGTTGCATGTCGCTATGGAAACCCACAGGTCGACAAACTGTAAAATATATATATATATACAATTTGCACGTAAACAATTTATTTTGACCGATTTCAACCCTTTAAAATCAAAATGTTGAAAATCGGGCGACGTGGTGACACTCACGAAGGTATTTGCAACAACTTTGTGAAAAAAAAATTGAAAAAAAGTTAAATAGCGTCGTCAAAAAATTGGTACATAAAAAAGGCCTGTTCTTTTATATATATAAAAGGATATCAGTAGCCTTGTTTTAAATATTCAAGGTTTTTGATCCAACAAATAACATTTTATTGAAATTTATAAAAAAAAAAAACTAAAAATTGAAAATTGAAAATGTCCATTAACAGCCCAAAACGAACAAAATATTCTCGAAAATCCATCAAGTTTAGAAATTGATAAAATAAACATATTTTATGGAGATTTTAATTTTCGTTTTTGAATAGCAACAAATTAAGAAAATCAACTAGATGAGAAATCGAGAAAATATCCAATGTTATAAAAATGTCAAACGCTCATAAATATTATATTTGAATTTCCAGTAGACATTTTCTTTTTTGATAAAGGTAGACGAACTTTTGAGGAATATTGTATTGAGTTTTTACAAATCTTAGATACAAAAAGAAAAATTGTTTTGAATTTTTACCTCAAAATAAATTGCAAATTGTTGTGTTTTTTACGAATTTCGTCAAAATTCAAACTTCAGACGCCCACAACAATTATTGTAGATTTACGTTTAACGTTTAACTTTCTTTTTGGTTTCCACTTACAATAACCCATGAGGAATCTTGTATTACATTTTCAAGTTTATTGACCGAGGAAACATTTTTCGAACGACATTAATTTAATAAAAACTAATAAAAATCAAAAATTTAATTTGCCCAGGAATAGTTCAAATACACGATTCAAAATATTTTAAAAATTATATAGAGTGTATAAAATGTTAATATATTCCAATTTCATAGAATCCATGGATAGGTTAACTTAACCGTGCAGTGTGCACTGTAATTTTTTGAAGAGTTACAAAAAAAACCAAAAATGATTTTGTTGAAAACTGATATTGCTTAAAAATCCCTGTTTTCCTTAATTTTTTTTTGTTTCGGCACTTGAATTTTGATGACAACTAGTGAGTAGTTTTAAATTGATCTCCCAAATACACCAACTAGGTTCATTTTCTCACCGGACAAGATAATGAAGTTTCGAATCATTGTTTTGACTCATTACCGTATTATTACAAAGACATGAAAAGAAAAACAGATCACTGTGAAATCAATACATTCATCTCTCTCCTCAGAATCTTTTTTTTTTCTTCATTAGGTATATACAATCTGTTCCTTTAGGGACAATAAGAATATGTGATAATGGACAAAAATATTTATATGAAAAGCGTGATGGGAGGAGTCACCCAGTAGTTACACTACCCTAACTCGATTTTTTTTTTTTATAAGTTACTCATTGAGAAGATCTCTACACCATTTTCTTTTGAGCCTCCGAGAGGGTTCCCAGGAATTGTGAGAGTGGCAAGATCTGAGATGAGAGGGTTGGTATGAGAGGGAGTTTTGAGTGGAACCGCTTGTAAAAAGTTACTGTCAGGAGGCTTATTAGGTTTTGGAACTAGAATAGTTACAGAGAATTTCTAAAGCATGGGAAAATATGACAATCTCAGGCACGCATTGTATATAATTGTGAGAAGAACAATGGCTCTTTTGGGGAGGGACCGGGCCTTTTCTGCAGTTATCAGGTCAAACCCCGGTGATTTCTTGAGACTGTATTTTTGAATTGCAAATTTT